GGAGGAGTGTCTACCCATCGCCGAGTACGCCTACAACCGAGCAAGACATTCGACTACCGGCATGTCCCCCTTCGAGGTCGTCTACGGTTTTAACCCGTTGTACCCATTGGACATTCTTCCCCTACCACTACAAGAACGCACAAACATGGACGCGAGTGCCTGAGTCAACTATCTCAAGAAGATGCATGAAGATACAAGGCACACCATTGAGCGCTAAGTACAACGACTCGCGACCAAGCTCAACCTCAACAAGCACCCCATGGTATTCAACATTGGAGATCTTGTGTGGCTACACCTTCGCAAGGACCGCTTCCCCAACGAACGCAAGTCCAAACTTCTACCACGAGAGGATGGACCCTTCAAGGTGCTTGAACGCTACAACAACAACAACAACACCTACACAAGATCGACATTCCACGAGACAAGTACTCCGTGAGCGACATCTTCAACGTAAAAGATCTCTCTCCCTACCAACAACAACAACAACAACAAAGCCTTTAGTCCCAAGCAAGTTGGGGTAGGCTAGAGGTGAAACCCATAAGATCTCGCAACCAACTCATGGCTCTGGCACATGGATAGCAAGCTTCCACGCACCCCTGTCCATAGCTAGCTCTTTGTCGATACTCCAATCCTTCAGGTCTCTCTTAACGGACTCCTCCCATGTCAAAATCGGTCGACCCCGCCCTCTCTTGACATTCTCCGCACGCTTTAGCCATCCGCTATGCACTGGAGCTTCTGGAGGTCTGCGCTGAATATGCCCAAACCATCTCAAACGATGTTTGACAAGCTTCTCCTCAATTGGTGCTACCCCAACTCTATCTCGTATATCATCATTCCGGACTCGATCCTTCCTCGTGTGGCCACACATCCATCTCAACATACGCATCTCCGCCACACCTAACTGTTGAACATGTCGCCTTTTAGTCGGCCAACGCTCCGCGCCATACAACATTGCGGGTCGAACCGCCGTCCTGTAGAACTTGCCTTTTAGCTTTTGTGGCACTCTCTTGTCACAGAGAATGCCAGAAGCTTGGCGCCACTTCATCCATCCGGCTTTGATTCGATGGTTCACATCTTCATCAATACCCCCATCCTCCTGCAACATTGACCCCAAATACCGAAAGGTGTCCTTCCGAGGTACCACCTGGCCATCAAGGCTAACCTCCTCCTCCTCACAGCTAGTAGTACTGAAACCGCACATCATGTACTCGGTTTTAGTTCTACTAAGCCTAAACCCTTTCGATTCCAAGGTTTGTCTCCATAACTCTAACTTCCTATTTACCCCCGTCCGACTATCGTCAACTAGCACCACATCATCCGCAAAGAGCATACACCATGGGATATCTCCTTGTATACCCCTTGTGACCTCATCCATCACCAATGCAAAAAGATAAGGGCTCAAAGCTGACCCCTGATGCAGTCCTATCTTAATCGGGAAGTCATCGGCGTCGACATCACTTGTTCGAACACCATGGTGATGAAAATTTCGATCCGAGGTCGAATCTTTCCCAAGGGAGGGGAGATGATGCGGAGCATCCTACGGTCATCCCCATGGACCCATCGTCGTCTCACCAAGTGCCAAAAGGACCTATGACACGAGCTAGAGCTAGAGCTCTCGAGACCGAGGTGACTTCCTTCCTTAATGATATCATATATGATCCACTCGAGACATGGCTACTACCTAAGTCCGGAATGTTGTGCATGATTAGGTACCAAGAGGACCCTCCCGAAGATGTGCGTGAAGACGGACAAGTCCCCAAGTTCACGGATGAAGAGAACCAACGAAAGTAGTCAAGAGCAGCTTCCAGGACCCGGACATCCGGCCATGACCTCGGACATCCGGCCCCTGGAGCGTCCACCACGACAGCCGCCAAGTACCTACAGGTCCCGGACATCCGGCCTCAGCCCGGAAATCCAGACCAAGCCCGAAAAAACGGCGCCCTCCGTCCCGAATGCATCAAGACCGACCCCGCCAGCCCAGACTTTCGGCCACCCCAGCCCGGACATCCAGCCCCTCATGAAAGCCCGGACATCCGGCCCGACGTCCGGACATCCGGCCTCCTCTGTCTACGCACAGTGTAGGGCCGAGGCCCATGTATCCCTTCGCTCCCCTGGACTATATATACTCCACCTCCTCCCTCTTTCTAGGGTTAGCATTGGTTTAGCTCATTTGAGATAGAGCTTTGCTCATCCATCCGGATCTACTCCACCGAGAGAGACCACGGCCTCTTCGGAGAAGATCCATCTTGGATTCAAGACCCCTCACGGGAAGATCCCTCGCGGATTCAAGGCCTCCTCACAGAGAAGAACCGGTTACCCTATGTATCGTCCCTTGTTGGATTTGGACCGTGTGATCTCTATGTGTACTCGGATCTAGCATATGTGTGACCCTATCTCGTTGGTTTGAGTGATTCTCTTGTGTTTCCCTCCGTGTTTTCCCTATGTGTTCTTCATGTTCATTGTAGGATCCGCTCCTTTCGCAAAAGATCGGCCGTATAGGGCCCCTACATCAGGAAAGGTGGCCCGTTTCGGGGCATCGTTGGCGGCCGCAGGGGTCGAGTGCGCGGCATTTTGAATTTCCAGCACGCTTTCCCGTGGCGCACAAGTGGGCCTGGATCACAGGTCAGCCGGGTCCGCAACAGCGGGCTAACGAGGGCAAAGCACTGCTTTGTCCCGACAGCGAATCAACATATGGGGCGGTTTGGGCGCCCCTCTGGAAGCAAAGCTAGGACCTCACTGGTGGACGACAAGTCGTCCTGATCCCCAAGCGAGTGGACTGGTCGTTTGTGGCCCTGCCCTGGTTGGGTTGCCCCCCTACGCCCACGGCGACACGCGAGACTGGCTCTGAGCGGGCCCGGCAGTAGAAGAGTTGTGGTTTGGCACCAATGGGCTAGGGCCAGCTGGCGAGTTGGCAGGCACCAGCGCTTGAGTGGGCGTCTCGATCGGCCTCGGATCCACCGCGGCTGCAGCTTTTGCGAGCGCGGCCTGAGTCCTTGCACGCTTTTTCTTCCCCCCTCGCTTTCCTCTTTTGGCTCTGCGACGAGGGAGGTGGGCCCCCTCCTGAGTGGGCCATGCATCTCACAAACCCCTGTACGGGCGATGGCGCAAGCGCGGTAGTGGCGGCGCGGGACGCAGGTCAGCCGCGGTCAACCGCCACACCGTCAGCGCGCTGGCGACCGTTGGAGCGCGTCCAATCGGGCGAGTCAACCACCAATCCGTCCGCGCGTCCATCGGGTGCGGTGGCCGTGCGACGGTGCTTCCGACCACGTCGTCGTTGATGACAGCACCCGGGGCCATGGCCCGCGGCGTCATTGTCGTTGCTGTTAGTGTTGCCGCCGCTGTTGGCAGCTCCATCAGCCGTGCAGGGGAGGGGTTCAGACCTAGTGAGCCGGACGGAGATGGGGTACTCGAGGGTGCGGACGACAGGGGGCAGACCAGGGCGGGCAGCGAGGACTTGCTCCACAATCTCCAAGATGGCCGCCCGGCGAATGGTGGTCGGGTCTCGCACGCGCCCAGCGAGCCAGAACATGGCGAGGTCAGCGCGGGAGCGTGTATCCGGATGCAGCCGCTCAATCTAGCAGCCAGCCCCCAGAATGTGCTCGACGATGGACAGATGACATGTCTACGCTGGGATGCCGCGAAGCTCGAGCTGCATAGAATACGCGAAGCTTCCGGCGATGGCGTGGGCGAGCTTGCACCAGACGGTGGAGCAGGGTGAAGTTGTCGGCATTGATGAGATGATCGCCGGCCATACTGTCCATAATCTGTCGTGAGGAGAAGATGAGGAAATCTTTTGGGGCATGTAGGTGTACGGTGAAGTCGCCGGGCTGCAGGTCAAACATGGTGTGCAGGGTTGTCTCCACCTTGACCGGGAAGACAGAAGGCCTAGTGTAAGTGATGGTGGCCACCATGCCATGCGTCAGCACCTCTTCCGCCTCCTCCATCTCGATGGAATGGGGAATGGTGACCCGCACCGGCTCGATGGGGGCAGTGGGGGCGAAGGCGGGGAGTTGCGCGGCGGAGTCACGCGCGGGCGGTGAAGGGCGACGGCAGGGTCGGAGGCCTAGGTTGCCAGAGGCAGCGCGCGGCGGGCGCCGGGCAACAGCGTTTCGCAGCCGCTGGACTCGTGGCCGGAGATGAGGCGGCGGTGGCAGCGCACGGGGTTGGTGCAGTCCCGCACCCAGTGCCGCGTATCGAGACATCAAAAGCAGAGGCCAGCGACTTCTTAGGGGGAGGGACTGCGACGGCGGCATGGGGGGTTGGGGCGGCCGGGCACCGCTCGTGCTGGCGGCGGTTCCTACGCCGCGGCTGCTAAAAGCCTTCGGCATCCAGCACGGGTCCTCCATTGACGTGGTGGACCTCCGAGCGGGGGCCCAAGCGAGCAGAGGCGGGGACGCGAGCGGCCGGCACGGTCAAGCGGTGTCGCACCAGGGCCGCGGGTGTGGGGGCAGGGCTTGGCGCGGCCGTCGTGGGGCTACGCAGGATCGGCGGGGTTCTCACGACGTCGCGGAAGGACCGCGAGCCGGAGGACTCACCCGCATAACCACACCAGCGGATGCGGCCGTCGGGGCTGGAGATGTGTCTGTCGGGGCTGGAGTCCCCGGAGTAGGTGCCAACGGAAGGCATGGTCGCGGGGGCCGACACGGGTGGGGAGGACGACTGGAGGAGAGGAGGGCTACCGGCGAGGGCTCGACGGCGGCGAGGCTGGTGGAGGGGCTAGGCTAGGAGCGGGAGAGGGGAGGAGAGCGGAATGGAGTCATCCCCTCAAAATGCTATTGTTCCTGTTCGTCAATCTAGCCAGTCGAAGTAACAAGCTGAATAAGTCAATTGGCAGTTCCAAAATGAAATTACCTAGAATAAATAAGAACTATAAAAATGGTTCAAATAGGACAGAAGAGCCAACAACTCAAAGGAAGACAATTCTATGCAGCTTGGACAAGATTCAGCTATTGTACACTAGATAGCATTGTGAATATGTGAGAACAAATTTTACAAGTGTTTCAGGCAGTATCAATACCGTTAACCATGATGATAAAAATTGCATGCCAGAATGGTGGTATATCTTTTGGAGGAACCATGAACAGAGGTCTAAGAAGATAATCGTTCATGTACCACCAATAGACGCCAAACACATGGACCATGAAGATTATGGTGATTCCAACAAGCATAGCAACTTTTCTCTCACCCTGTAAAAGAGTTAAAATAAGAGTTAGGTATATCAAGATGCTGACACTAGCAAATGTTTTCATGATCTAGCTAATGGGCTTCCAACATGTTTGACCACAAAAGGTATAGCACAATCTGAGCCACATGCTATTTGATGACCTAATGTAATGGCCAAAATATAAATCAACATCAACTGCATTGAAATCTTCATTTCTTATAAAAATTTCCATGCTAAACAAAGGATAAAAGGGAGGCCATTATGACTAAAAGCTCTCGAGAGTCTACATATTTAAAAAAGAAGGCACGCCTAGGCGGGCGTTTAAGTGCACCTAAGGCTCTAGGCAATAGCAAAACGCCTAGCGCTTAATCTGCGTGTAAGCGTGTGCTTTGATCAGAAAAGCGCAAAGCAGTTGCAAAACACACAATTAAGCCTAGAATTTTTTTAACTACAAGAGTTTATGAATGATGGCCTCAGGAAATTCATTATTTGAAAATGCTTTTATGTTCATGAAGCTAGTAATACAGACCATCAGTGGAACCTCGCTTTATTTCACACAGTCATCATGGTCCGTTCAAATTCATGAGGATGACAGAAAGGAAGGGCTGTCTTAGTAGACTTCCACATATTTCATACTAGAACTGAGTTTCTTATGATATGCTAAATTTGGTATATATAATATCATACCTTCAATGCAGTTTGCTTCTTCAATATATCATTTGACTTGAACATTACAGCAGCAATCCAAATTGTGACGAAGAAACCTGCAGATCAATCCTTCCATTATTGTGGATGCAAATTGCACCATTGCCAAAAAGGCAACAGGAATATACAACTGAAGCAGGAAATTTACATCCAACTCAGTATGATTCTTACAACTTTCCTAGTAGAAAAAATAAATTTGTTGTCCTTACAAGGATTAATATGAATGGATAAGATAGAAATGAAAAGGACCAACAAATGAACTTTATATAGGAAAATGATAGCTACACCACCATTAATGATACACGGATAGCTTTGTTACATTTGCATCTAATTGAAGTAATGCATAAAGGCAGACTATTTTGGAAGACCTTAATTTTAACATATTGGCATAAATAAAATGCTAGCTGTAGGCCTCCAGATGCAGATCTCTTATTGTATGGAAAAAATAAGGTTGGCCTAGGCTCCCCTGCCAGACAAATTAAATGCTAAGAGACTATGCTAAATATACCGATCTTAAGTATAACTACAAAACCATGAAAACATAAACACACCATACAAGAAAGTTCTAGTTATTCATAGGTGTTGATATATTTCTTTTCAGTCATCACTTAAGGCAGGAAGAAAATGCATTTATTTGGAAGCATAGAAGACTGATTGGAATACTTCATCAACTAATCTCAAGCTCCACCAGATTGGGGAAAAAAGCTCCTCCAGACAAGGAAAGAGAAGGATGGCTCTCAGCTAATAGAGGGGCGAGCCAGAACAATCTTCTTTTTTTTTGACGGGACGAGCCAGAACAATCTTTACTATTAAAGGGGAATCGGTAGCGTCACTTCCACCTCCTCCCCCGGGTTTTTTTCTCCCCACGCCTCTCCCTCCACTTTGGTTTCCTTTTAGGTTTTGTTAATCTCAACAAATGCCGCACAAAATAAAAAACCAACATAAATATAGTACTCCCTCCGTAAACTAATATAAGAGCGTTTACAATACTAAAGTAGTGATCTAAACGCTTTTATATTAGTTTACAGAGGGAGTAACTTGAAATAATCAAAATAAAATCGGTACTTTCCAAAACCACGTCATGCATCAACTCAATCAAATCAAATAAAATCAATTCTTACCAAATCTCAACTCAATAAAAACTTTCTTTGCCTTCCCCTACCAATACCCAAATCAAATCAAAGCTTACCAAAACCTCAACTAACCAAAACTTTCCTTGCCTTCCCCTACCCTTACTCAAATCAAATTGAATCTTATCAAAATCTATAATACGGTGAGTGTAAGGTATACGTCAGACATGATTGATGTTGAACCACTAGAATATTTATGCCCATGTTGCAACACATGGGAAATAGCTATAGTTATGTTAAGTAATGAAAGCTAACTCCCAAGACCTGGCTATGAGTATATTCAGCATTGCATCTACGTCACTAAACGGTAAATAAAAACCATAATATCTCTTTTACCATGATGACCTAAAATTAACCAAAATAATACGCCGCAACATTAGAAAGTTGAATAGCTGCTATGAAAAATCAAACTTTAACATGTTACATCATACTAAGATCAGAACTAAGATCTTGTACTTCTAACAAAAAAGTAACTAAATGATCCCCCATAACAACAAAAAGTCAAATGGACGCTATGACAAAACAGAACGCAACATATCAGAACTTAAATCAAGCATTAATCATGAGAAATAAGTACTTGTACACCTAAAACACGTTGTATTTTGTTTAGCATCCACATTAGAATGTACCAAAGCTATCTCAACCATTAATACAGCCCAAATATGTTCTTGTGGACTTGTGCCCTAAAAAGGCATCCATTTTGTTTGACAACATATTCTTGGGAGGTTACACAGCTCATGATCGCAACCACATTAAGACGGAGGGCATGCCATTTCCGCAGAGACAACATCTTTTAAACCGGGAGGGAAATGAGTATCAAACCTTGGAGATGCTGCCGAATGAAGACAACGAGCAACAGCAGCGAGAATGGTAGTATCTGCTCGATCCACCGAGCAACGTGGTGCACGTCGTAACGCTGATATGGGCGGTCCCCAGCCCCATTTCCCGTAGCACCGCCACTGCCACCGCCGCTTGCCTCCGCATCAGCACCGCCTCCCCTTCCCGCCACGGAGACCGGGTCAAAGTTGGAGGAGGCGGCCACCTCAATTGAGTCCTGCGGCGAGGCCCCTGTAGCCGTCGCGCTCGCCGTGTCAGGGTCGCCGGGGTCACCCTGGATCCGAATCGAGACCTCTCCATCCCCAGCAGCGGCGGCAGAAAGTAGCCCGTCAGCCTCAGACGACGATGAGGAGGAGGGTACCGCCTGCTGCACCGTCTGCGGGACGGGCCCGGAGGGGACAACGCCTGAGTACTCGAGGAGCGCGGCGAGCGGAGCCTGGAGAAGGCTGGAGGCGGAGAAATTGAGACCGTAGCGGCTGAGGCTAGAAGCCGCAGCACCGGCAGAGGCGCCAGACCCGGTTACCCGGCGATCGGCGGAACCTCCCGCCGGTGTCTCCATAACCGGCGGCGGAAACCTAGAAAGGCGAAGCCGACGGCGCACGCGGAGGCGGAGGCAGAGACCCCTGAAATGGGAAGTTCGGGAGATCCCCACTTTGCTTGGGTTGTTTACATTGCTTTTATTTTCCTTTTTGGCCTTTCGTCGAGGCGCCTCTCCCCTCATTTTCCTTGTGTGCTTTAATTTGTTTTTAGAAATCGAACCTGTGGATCTGACATTTTTAAGAAGTTGCTCCTCACTTCTACCTATTCTCTCGTCATGCACATTGTTCACATTAGCTTTATGCCATATCACTGTTAATTCATCCCCACTAACTAAATATCTTAATATGCAAAGTATCCACATCAACAATGCAGCCCATGTGAGATGCAAGACCGGACAACCTCATCAGGGTCAACTGACCACAAATCTGTAGTACTACGCACCAAGATAAATCTGGTCATCGAAAGGACTCAAGACCCGTCGTTTTCACTTCGGCTCTTTCGCCTTCTGTAACAGACGATGCGTTCTAAACAAGCCCCCAGACGCATCTTATTTTACCTCCCCGCACATCTCATCTTCCCACCTCATCACGAGGCGATCTAATGGAGCTGCAGCCAGAGAATCTTGGCTTCACCATGTGCGACCTCAGGCCAAGATCGGCTAGCTGCTCCGCCAGCTGCACGCTTGGGCGAAAACATCGCATGCCACCGCATCACGAGCACCCGGCATCGGCTTCGCTCGGCCATCCACGTCCTCCTTCCTCATGGGCTTCACCGGGTGGCCGCTGCACGCCATACCCCCACCGGGACCCGGCGTGGTGCCACCAACAACCTTGCCACCGCCCATTGTACATCCTTCAGCCCCTCCTCCCTTCACTCTGGTTTGGAATGCAGCAAGCCGGTCGGTATGGCGTGCGGATGTAGATGAACAAGTTGGGCTATTTGCACCATGTTTCTGATCGCCTATACCAAACTTTTTTTCGCGAATATGCAAGATGTGTATCATTCCATTAATAGGTAGAAAGCAAGAGTGTCAGGATTACACGGGTATCACTTTACCAAGTACGCAGAGTTGGCGTGGAAAAGTGGTACATGAGCAGAATAGATGGGGGTGCTCGGCCCCAACCTAGCTATCTACACATCAGGGAGGCATAAAGTTTGCGATGTCCTTGGCCCCGGCAGAAGCCCATGTCCGAGCGTCGTCCTTGATGATCTGTAGAAGTAGCGTGGAGGAGGGGTGCATGTGGTCGAAGATGCATGCATTCCGATGGCGCCAGATGGACCGCACAGTGAGAAGAGCGAGGGAGGCGAGACCTTTCCGCAAGGCCGCTGGAACCCGCCTGGTAGAGTCAGCCCACCACTCGAGGAAGCAATCATTCGGTGCCTGGAGGGGGGATTGGCAGCCGGCACCAGGCGAAGATCTCATGCCAGATGATCCGGGAGAATGGGCATTGTATGAGAAGGTGATCGAGGGTTTCCAGCACTTGGTCATAGAAGATGCAACGGTCGTCATGCGGCAAGCCATGGCGCGCGAGGCGGGCGGCGGACCAGCAACGATCCTGGCTTGCGAGCCAGGCAAAGACACGGATCCGCAGCAGGGCCCACGTGCGCCAGATGAGTTTCCAGCTGGGCGTGATGGTGGAGCCAGCGAACATGGCTCGGTAGCAGGAATTCGCAGTGTAGATGCCCAAGTCGGTCCACTTCCAGCGTAACACGTCGGGGTCGAGAGTTAGGGTTACGGGCTGCAGGGCGCGCCAAAGCTCGATGTATTGAACCATCGCAGCCGGCCCCAAGGCACCCTGGATGTCTCCCACCCAGGCCCTGTTATGGATGCCCTGCGCAACGGTCGTCGTACGCCTCCGGCGCTTGGGGACCAAGGCGAGGACGGCCGGCGCAAGCTCGCTGACTGATGAGGACATCAATACCATTGTTACACCCACAGCCCCTACTGTTACATATACTGGACCAATTACTAGAGCTCGCGCACGCCAATTAAATTACCAGGTACTTTCGTTTCTTGGTAATGATTCTAATGTTCATGAGATTATGATGCTACCTAAATTGGATACATTTGTTTTGCTTACAAATGAAGGGCCTAGCTTGGAGAAGGATGAACATTGGAGCAAGAACACGCATGGAGTTGATGGCATGCGCAAGGGGATCAAGAACGGAGTTACAAGTGATGATTTCAGGATTTTGAAGCCGCCATAAGGAGTGCATGAAGCCTTGGACGAAATATACAAGATGCCACTTCATAATATTCGTCCATAGGCTATTCTAGGTGCGGTGTCACCTTATTAATGGGCTAGGCCCATGTAATTTCGAAATACTTAAGTATAGGCTATTTTTAGAGTCCGTATGTGTGAGGAAACAAGAGTTAGGGTTGGTTTCGGACCCCACCCTCAAGGGACACGAAATTCCCCCCTCTTCCTCCATATATACAGCCCTTAGGGCATCGTTTAGACTTTGGGTTTTGTTTAGATTAAAAGTTCGCCATAGCTGCAACTTCGCGTACTTCGTTTGTGTCCAACGACTAGACCAAGACGTCACAGAACCCCACCTTGATCAATAAAGCTTTCATCTTATATTCGCAATATCCCGATTGCAATCTCAGTTTCTTGCTTGTTCTTCGTTTGCTCGCAGGAAACAAACCCTCGTGGTCAGGTTGATCGTGCTCCGGCGTGGTCAATAACCCTCGGAAGTTGGTTTAGTGATTGCTAAGGCGCGACGTCTCGCACGTTCGTAGTCGGACCGTTAAGGTCGACTCCCACAGAAAACGATAGCCACCATCTCATCGAAACATCGGGACACCTTAGCCTCTATCAAGTGGTATCAGATTTCTAGGTTACTCGGTGAGATTTTATAGTTTTTCGTAGATTAGATCGAGTCTGTTCTTCATACCTACAGTCCACGAAAAAGCCAGAAAAAAAATTAGGGTTAGTTCATCATATCCGAACCAATCTGAGCCTTTGCATAATATTTTTAGGGTTTTTGCTTTGTTGAATTTGCGGTTGCATCGTCGTGTCAAGTTGCTGGTCTTAGAGTCTAGTCTTTTAGAGTTTCGAGTTCTGGTCATAAGTTGTCACGCCGCCGCCGCACCATCATCATCGCCCATCTACCACTTTTGCTTATCCGCCGCCGCTCTAAATCCATATCCATATACCACCACCAATCCGTATCCATATACCACCACCAATCTGTATCCATATACCACCACCGCTACCATATACCACCACCGCTGCCATATACCACAACCATATATCCACCATCAATCCGAGTTCTTCTCATATTAGGTTTGTTCTTGAGATCAATCTAAATTCTGATTCGTGTTTCCTTGCCTGCGTAGGTCTCGGAAAAAAAAAGAAAAGAAAAAAGAGTCTGAAGACCCCCGGGCAGTTTTTAGGCCAAATTTTTCACGGGCAAATTTTTTTCCCTATCCTATTTTTAGGCTTTTCTGAGTCTTTTGAGCCACGTGCCATCATAGTGATTTTTTGTCGCACTTTTTCGTCGTCGCTGCCCTGATTTCCGAAGAAAAAGTGAAAAAAAATTCCGTGCCCATCCTATCAGTTTGACGAGGGAAGAGTTTTGAGACACTCGCCATTATAGTGATTTTTCGCAAAAAAAAAAGGAGCGCAAAGAAAGAGCGAAAAAAAAGAGTTCCAGAGTGTGCTTTTCCCTTATTTACGTGCAGCGCCGTGATTTTGTTAGTGTTCTAGGCTCGCGTCTCTAGCACGGTCTAGCCTAGGACCAGCGCAGTACCGTCGTTGAGCGTTTATTCAACTTTGCATCTCTGAATTGATTATTGCTGACCCTTTTTGCTACCATACTATAAGCCTTTCCAGCTCCACATACATCTACGTCGTGCGTTTGACTCTCCCTGGCAATCGCTCTATCCAAGCTTTTGAGAGTTTTGACTACAACGATTGTCGATCACCGCCTGCTGTTGGGTAAGAACTGGTAAGAATTTGAGATTTGCTTGACGGATTTGTGACACCCGCCACCACCACCACTTGTTAGTAGTCTGTAGGATCATATTCTTGTGTGTTTCTATTGCTGCTAACCATGCCAGGATCACAAGCCGACGAGACTGACTGGGAGAACTTGACGAACAAGGAGCTTCATGATACGTTTCAGCAAATGATGAGTGGACAGGTGCACGATGTGATAAACAGATTTGAAGAGGCCATGGAGAAGATAGATGGCATGGAGAAGACGTTTGAAACAAAGCTCGATAACAAGTTTGCTGAATTGCTTTCGCGTTTTCCACCATCACCACCGGCTGCTCCTGCCGCACCTCTGCAACAACAGCAACAACATCGACTACCTCCACGTCGGGAAACAGCCCTCCGCCGAGCGAGCCGTGTCCCTCTTCAGTCGGGCCAAACTGCTGGTGCTGCTGTTGATACTTCTGTGGCTCCTACTGCTGATGTGGAGGAGGATGATTATGTGGGAGGTTATAAGGATGAGGTTGATCAAAATCAGAACTACATGCCACCACCAGCACAGCAACCACCAGGTCGTCCACATGCAAATAATGGCAATGGTAGGGCTCACCCTCAGGTACGAGATCATGACCATCTCCCTAAACTAAAATTGAATATTCCACCATTTGAGGGTAGATATGTTCCTGATATATATCTTACTTGGGAGTTAGAAACTGAACAACGATTTACATGTTTACAATATCCCGAGGAGAGACGTGTTCCTGCTGCTGTTTGTGCATTCACTAGTTTTGCATGTGTTTGGTGGTCTGAGCATTGTAGATTATATCCTATTCCGGCTACTTGGGCTGCTTTGAAAACTGTTATGCATACTCGTTGGGTTCCACCATATTATCAACGTGAATTACTTCAAAAATTGCAGCGCTTAAGACAGGGAAAAAATTCCGTAGAAGAATATTATCAGGAATTACAAACTGGCATGATTAGATGTGGTATTGTTGAGGAGAATGAAGCTATGCTTGCACGTTTTATGGGTGGATTAAATAGAGAGATTTAGACGATTCTAGAGTATAAGGAGTATACTAATATCACTCGTTTATTCCATCTTGCTTGTAAAGCTGAACGTGAAGTGCAGGATCGACAGGCATTGGCGCGGACTAACTTTTCTGCAGGTCGACCTTCATCATGGACACCACGTGCATCATCTACTTCCACACGTTCTGCTACACCGGCGCCTCCGTCGGCTGCCACCTCCAACCGTGATACAATAAAGCAGGCACAATCACCACTATCTGCAAGAGCACACCTTCTGGGCCTGTAAAGAGCTATTCTTCATCCATGGCATCAACAGGGCAAACACATGATATTATTTGTCGATGTTGCAAGGGTGGAGGTCATTATGCGAGAGAATGCCCATCTAAGCGTGTGATGATTGTTACTGAGGATGGTGGGTATGAGTCCGCTAGTGACTATGATGAGGAGACCTTGGCTCTTATTACACGTGAAGAACACGGTGGAGACGATTCTGATCATGAGACGCAATACATGGCTCCTGAAGATGCTGACAGGTATGAATGTTTAGTTGCTCAACGTGTTTTGAGTGTGCAGGTTACACAAGCTGAGCAAAATCAGAGGCATAATTTGTTCCATACAAAGGGAGTTGTGAAGGAACGTTCTGTTCGCGTGATCATAGATGGAGGGAGCTGCAATAACTTGGCTAGCATGGAGATGGTGGAGAAGCTATCTCTCACCACAAGACCACATCCACATCCTTACTACATCCAATAGTTCAACAACAGCGGCAAG